TCAGTTGCCTCATATGCATGCGAAAGCTGGATGATGAATAAGGAAGACCAAAGAAGGCTTTGAATTGTGGTTTTGTCAAAGAATATTGAATATACCGTGGACTGCCAAAAGAATGAACAAATCTGTCTTGGAAGAAGTACAACCAGAATGCTCCAGAGAAGCAAGGATGGTGAGACTGCGTCTCACATACTTTAGACATGTTATCAGGAGGGATCAGTCCTTGGAGAAGGACATCATGCTTGGTAGAGGTCCAGCAAAAAAGAGGAAGACCCTCAACAAGATGGACTGACACAGTGGCTGCAACAGTAGGCTCAAGCATAACAACGATTGTGAGGATGGCGCAGGACTGGGCAGTGTTTTGTTCTGTTTTACATAAGGTCACTATGAGTCAGAACCGACTCTACGGCACATAACAACAACAACAAAGTAAGGTAGAAAAACTGGTAGAGTGTGGTGTCACAGAAATCTGAGAAGAGAAGGGCTTGCACTCATTGGCTGAAGTGATCCTGAGAAAATCACGCACCGTTGAACCTTCGGGAAGCTTTTAAGCATTTTATATGTATCAGAGAAGGGGGAAATTATTTTTCCTGGAGCCCTGGTGGCACAGTGGTTAAGAGCTCAGCTGCTAACCAAAAGGTCAGCAGTTCGAATCCACCAGCCGATCCTTGGGAAACCCTGTGGGGCAGTTCTACTCTGTCCTGTAGGGTTGCTATGAGTCGGAATCGACTCGATGGCAATGGGTTTGATTTTTTTTTTTATAGGAATTTTGTAAGTGAAGTTTTCTTTTTTAATAGCATTAAGCATGTAGCTCTAAAATTTAGCTGTCACTGAGTAAAACCAGTTTTTGATCACCTCTCACTTTGTCTACCTTTTCCTGTGTGCACTTCTTAAACATTCTTGCCACCTTTGTCAGCTACTGTCAGGAAAGCAAAGCGTGAAACCATTCCAGCAAATTTGAAAATTATTAATGTGCATCGCTGAATACATGATCTTTGTCTTGGTTGGGTCAAGGCATCTATATGCCTGGGGAAGATTACAATTTTGTTATATAGAAATGCAAATTGATAGAACTAGGCTCCTGAGGTGAGAGTATCTTACAACAGGTTTGAAAGCCAGGCTTGCGACAAAAGAAATGATCTGTGGAATTCGTTTTGCGCCCAATTAAATTATCAAAGGCTGAGACTGGAGAACTCAGATAATAGGGTAATAATAATAGCTTACATTTATTGAGCACTTTAATATCCATCAATCACTGTTCTAAGAAGCTCTTTACATAACAACTCCATGAAGCGGGTACCGTTGTCATTTTTTTTTTCTTTTCAGATGGGAGAATTTAGGCACAGACAGATTTAAGGGACCTGTGTAATGCCTACAGCTAGAAAGGGGAGTAGTCAGAATTCAGATTCAGGTTGTCTGACTCCAGAGCCCAAGCTGTAGCCATCTCTTTCACTTAGGACAGTGAAACTTGGCTGAAGTACTCTGATAAATTGAGATGACTGTTAGATGTCTGAAAAGCTGGACTATGTAAAGGAGAATGTGGCATTGGCATTGGAGGAAGACTTACTAACAACCTGCAATATGCAGATGGCACAGCCTTGCTTGCTGAAAGTGAAGAGGACTTGAAGCACTTACTGATGGAGACCAAAGACTACAGCCTTCAGTATGGATTACACCTCAACAGTAAGAAAACAAAAATCCTGACAACTGGACCAAAAAGCAACATCATGATAAACGGAGAAAAGATTGAAGTTGTCACCGATTTCATTTTACTGGGATTCACAATCAACACCCATGGAAGCAGCAGTCAGAAGATCAAAAGATGCATTGCAGTGGGCAAATCTGCTGCAAAAGACCTCTTTTAAGTATTAAAAAGCAAAGATGGAACTTTGAGAACTAAGGTGCAGCTGACCCAAACCATGGTATTTTGAACTGCCTCATATGCACATGAAAGCGGGAGAATGAATAAGGAAGACCAAAGAAGAATTGATGCCTTTGAATTATGGTGTTGTTAAAGAATACTATATATACCATGGACTGCCAGAAGAATGAACAAATCTGTCTTGGAAGAAGTACAGCTAGAATGCTTCTTAGAAGCAAGGGTGGTGAGACTTTGCCTCATGTACTTTGGACATGTTATCAGGAGGGACCAGTCCCTGGAGAAGGATATCATGCTTGGTAAAGCAGAGGGTCGGTGAAAAAGAAGAAGACCCTCAACGAGATGGATTGATACAGTGGCTGCAACAGCGGGCTCAAACATAGCAACAACCGTGAGGATGGCACAGGACCAGGCAGTGTTTCATCTGTTGTACATGGAATTGTTATAAATTGGAACTGACTTGACGGCACCTAACAATGTTAGATGTCCAAGTAGAAATGTTGAGTAGTTAGTTTGACATAGGAGTCTTGATTTTGGGAGCGTGATCAGCAGTTAAGACATAATTTTGAAATTATCTGCATATGGATGGCAAGATTGGTTATTAAAGTTATGACAGTGAAAATAAGAGTCCACACCTTTCCAGCCGTGAGAAATTGTGGGATGGAGAAAAGCAGAAGCAATCAGATAAATGTACCCTTTAAGGTAGATAAGTAAGGATGTCGCCCCTGTTTACTATTTGTGTTTCTGGAGATCCACCTCAGTATCCACCTCATACCAGTACTGAGCAACCTACATCAGAGAAAACTTGATGGAGAAATATGTCATGAGATGGGCTCTGAGTTTCAGCTTTCCTGATCTACTCTGAGTTCCTTTCTGGCACAGTTAGGTCTCAGGAGGCTTTCATGGAAGTCTCAACTAATCTCAGAGGGGCTAATACGAGGTTAGGCTGAGTCAGCCAGGGAAAGCCACAGGGCTCTAAACAAGGGAGAGAGACTGGACTGTGATTTCATCAACAGCAGAGTTCAGCTGAGAATGCTAGTAAGGCAGGTAGGAATAGGACAAGCAAGGGCCATGACCCGAGAGGCCAGGGAGCCGGAAGGTATTACTCTATAAGGTTTTCTGATTTTCTAGATTTTTCCCTTTCCCCGTAATACACACTGTGCCACCTTTCGCGTTGACACATATCCTGTTGCATTGTTATCAGTGCCATAGCTTCCTCCCATCCAAACAAATAGAGGTTCATATAATGCAAACCTATTCCCAATTAATCAGTCACATTGTACTGAATTCATATTATGCATACTCAATTCATAATATGCTATAGCAGAAATGCCCGTATTTAGTGACTGAATTGCAGAGAATAGTAGAGCAGTGCTGAGAAAATAAATGTAGAAAGATAAAGCCGAAGTGTTTTAATTAAGAGTCTTAGCTTGCAAATAATGGAAGCCATTTTCATTTAGCTTGAACATAAAAGAAAAATTTTCTTATAAAGATACTGAGATACCTCATGGAACTCAAGGGCAAGATTTTAGCCGAGACTCAGGAAGAGAATGAAATCAGGATTTGGAAAGGTATCAGAACTTTATCTCTACTTCTTTATCCTCTGATCTTTTTATCTCTTCTTCTTTCTTAGTATCGGCTTTATTTTTCTCTGCAGATCTGCTTTCTCTGCTTCTGTCATCTATGTGGAAAAAGCCATGCTGTTACACTCCAGCTCTTGAGCTTATATATTACAGTTGTATATTAGTTTCTTCACTCAGACTAATTTCATCTCTAAGTCCCAATTCTAAATTCCCATAAGAGGGAATTTAATTGGCTCAGTGTGGGTCAGGTGCATTCCCTTAATTCCCCATAGCCAATAGAGTGGGATTCTGAATTGCAAACAAACAGGAGGCCAAGCCCTGTAGAATTTCTGGGTGTTGAGGCTGGGCACTGTTGTTCCCAGGGAAGTGGAATTGTTGTAAACTAGAAGTATTCCTTAATATGTGTCTACTGAGGGGATTAAGACTAATTTAAGAGGTGATAGAAGAAGTAATTTTTAGCAAGAAATTGAATGAGAATGTTTTCCTTCTTATGAATATTGTCTGTTTTTTTTGTTTCTGTCACTTTATGTACCAATTTATGTCTTTTCCTTCATTTATTCATAGTTTCAGAGATATAATCTAAGATAACATTTGTTAACATTTTTGACACTTGCAAGGTCTTTCTTTAAGAGGTCCTTGGGTGGCGCAAATGGTTTGCTCTCGGCTAGTAACCAAAAGCTTGGCACTTTGAACCCACCTAGCGGCACTATGGAGGAAAAGACCTGGCAATTTGCTTCCATAAAAATTACAGCCAAGAAAACCCCATGGAACAGTTCTACTCTGTAACACAGAGGGTTGCCATGAGTCAGAATTGACTTGATAGCTTAACAAAACATTGTCTTTAAGAATACATTTCTTGTATAAAATGTAACTGTCTTTATTATAGTGTGTGATTACGTTAAAAAAAAAAAAAAGAGTATACAGACCTCTTCCTTTCTGAAAACCCTATACCCTCACACCAGCCCCAGAATCTGTCTCTGCAAATAATTTTGTTGAACTTTTATGAGGCAGAAATGGAGAGTGGGCAGTGAGGCAGGAGGAAGGGAAAGAATTAGTGAAATAGGCTAAGCATTTCCAAAGAAGGGGTGGAGATAATATGAGATGAAAACCCATGAACAAGTGTTTAGGGGAATTTTTGCAAATGAGAAACTCTGGAGCATTATGAGGTATGAGAAAATTGGGGAGGACAAGAAAAGACATGAGAAGGGTTACTCAACATTATAAATTAGGTCCTCTTTAATGTTTTTTGAAGGATATATGTTAAAAATTGGAATTCCCTTCTTACTCATTTTGACTATTCAAATGATCCTTCCTTGGCTAGGATTCCACATGGAGTCATGAGGGTTATGAGGGTCCAGAGTTCATAAAGATTAAAAGTATTTTGTCAGAGTATTGTAAGTTAAGTCTTTATCAAGAATTGCAATATATTGTAGATATAAAAATAAAAGTATATTATGGCTTTGTTTAAAGTATTTTTGATTCCAAAGCTTTCATTTTGAACTTTGGTATTTTCAGTAACAGACATTTCCCTTGTCTTGCAGATCAAGATATTTTGGAAAGTATATTAATAGACAGTTATATTTTCCCAAGTACCACAATAGTAAGTAGACAACTTTTATATAATTAGCTTGTCTCGTGATTATCATTTGGAAAGTATTTAAAAAGCCTTGAGATTTAAATAATAGCTAGTTTTCTTAATGCTGTGAGACCTCTTCAAAATATTTTCCTAGCTCTTTCCTACTTATAATGCTGACCATGTGTCCTTTCATTTTAATGAACATACCAAAATTATCTTTTTTTGAAAGTTTTGGTTTTTTACTACTCTTTTTCTATTTTGAAGACCTTCCCTGTTTCCAGATCCAACCAGACTATACAAAAATAGTCACATTTCTGCTCCCTTATGAGAAATAATGAAATGGAAAATATTGCTATTAGATGTTGTTTTATATACTTTTCTTTATGTGTTTTCCCCTGGTAGCCAGATCATTTGAGCAGTCTTATTATTGTCATGCTGTATGATTTCCAAGATAGAAAATTTCAAGCTCGTCTCCTTTCTGATAACGAAGACTCCATATCGGAAGTTCAAGAAGTAGAGAACCTTCTTCACAGGTAATTGTAAAAAATGAAAAGGCAGTTTTATATGAAATCAGTATTAGTATTTTCTTTGGTAAAATTGTATACAGTAAAATATGTAGATAAGTGTTAAAAACAGAAAACAAAGTTCATATATTTCTTGAGTCCCTTTAAATACAGTCTTGAACAGTTTTAAAATCAAGTTATTTTTGAAAGCTTCAATTGCAAGATCCAACTTGTAAGTATGTGGGAAGTAAGGAAAAATTGCTAATAACTTTTAGTATTTACATAAAATAAGCTTCAGTTGAAACAGCTATTATTTATTACCTAGCTTTATTTACAAGTCTTTAAGAAAAAATGTAGCAGGTATCAAATGAGAAAATCTCAACAGTAGATAAGAACCCACTATTTTGCCAAATTGGGAAAAAAAAATCTACTTAGTTAGGATCAAACTAACAGGTTTTAAATTTGTTTTCTTTTTATTCTAGATAAAAAGGAAGCCTATCATGGAGATGATAATAGTACCTACCTCAAAGGGTTGTTGGGAAGACTAATTAAACTAATGCATATAAAATACTTAAGTTTAGGGCGAGACATAGTAAATGGTCAATAAATGTTAAGTGCTTCTATTGTTATGACTTTTATGTTGTTGAACTTTAATAGAAAGCACAATATAACAACAACAATCTTGTGAGAAATTTTTTACCTAGTAAATAGTTTGAAACAGTGTTATTAGTATCATGTCTCATTTTATATCTTTATGGGAAATTCAAGCAGTTCACTGAAGATTACCTTTTGGCATTAAGAAAATATTCAATTTATATTTAAAGAGAATCACATTTCTTATGTGTCAAGCATTCATAATACACTCAAAAACTTGAGTAATTTGTTCACTGTTGGGTAGAATTTCTGAAAATTTTGAAGTCATAAAGGAGTAAAACTCATTTTTTTAAAAAATAAATAGAGGGAAAATGGTGTATTAGGATTCTTTTTGCAACTGACAGATCCCAGTTCAAACTAGATGAAGCAAAAAGGAGAATTTATTATAAGGTATCTCATGGAAGAATTGAACATTGAGACTGCAGGAAGGGCAATGATGTGGCCATGTTCTTACCAACTAGAACCCATAACTCAGACATCATCAGGACTCTCAGCTCTAGTCTGCTTTTCTGTGAGCTTTGGCTTTGGTGTTTTCTCTCTCCTTTTTCCTAGAAAGGGAAACTTGGCTGCCAACAATTCAGAAGCTTCCCGTCTTGCAGTGTCAAGCACTAGAAAGACTGGCTTGATTCTTTGTTGCCACATCCAGAAAAAATGACTTGACACCAGTTTGAGTCAAGTGGCCGAAGAGACAGAGTCAGTTAGGGACACCTCTTTATATATTAGTAAATTAATTATATTTATAATTAAATTTAGTTAAACTTCAGTTTTTATTACATGGGCAGTAAGTAAACATTTGAAAACAGAAGTCGTAATAATCACTAACAGTTATAGAATCCCTGCTATATACTAGATTGTAAGCACTTTACGTGGGTTATTTTATTTAGTATTTATAATAATCTTATTAAATATAGTTCCTGTTATTACTTCCACTTGCATAGATGAAAAAACCAAAGATTACAGAGGTTAAGTAATTGGACCAAAGAGCCCACACTTCTAACCACTATGGTCTTTGGCTCATGGTGTATATTAAGTAAAATAAAAGTTTTTTCTGAGGACTAAGTGACATCTGCTTTTGAGCAGAACTAGAGAGTAGCAGCTCATTTTCAGAAAAGAAACTGAGGGTAAAAATAATTTAAAAACTCATCGTATAGAACTGTTGCTGAAACTTTGTTTAGATTGTCTTATTATCTAAACTGTTAGTCTGTTTTTTACTACTTACTGTGTGTCTTATATACTTTGTACATGTTATTCAGGAGGGACCAGTCCCTGGAGAAGGACATCATGCTTGGTAAAGTAGAGGGTCAGCGAAAAAGAGGAAAACCTTCAATGAGATGGATTGACACAGTGGCTGCAACAATGGGCTCAAGCATAACAATGATTGTGAGGATGGCGCAGGACAGTGTTTCGTTCTGTTGTACATAGGGTCCCTATGAGTCGGAATTGACTTGACAGCAGTGAGTTTGGTTTTGGTTTGGTAAAGTAACTGAAAGGAGCCCTGGTGGTGTAGTGATTAAAGCACTCAGCTGCTAACCAAAGGGTCAGTGGTTTGAACCCACGAGCCACTATGCAGGAGAAAGATGTAGCAGTTTGCTTCTGTAAAGATTTACAGCCTTGGAAACCCTATGTGGCAGTTCTTCTCCATCTTATTGAGTCATTATGAGCAGTGGGATTGGTTTGGTTTGGTTTGGTTTGGTTAAAGTAACACTGCTTTTTATTGATGTATCTATTTCTACTGTGATTTATTGTTACCATTCTACTCTGCTGTTAAAAAGGCCCATCTTTTGAAGTCTCTTACCCTCTATTGATGGCCAAGTCTCTCTGACTTCATTCTATCTTTTGTCAGACACTGGGGTAATTACCAGAAAGGAGTCTAGAATTTTTTTTTTTTTAAGTTATTGTCTAGTTAGTGGCAAGTTCTTCCAGTAGAACTTACAGCTCTTGCTGTAAAAGTAATTTTACTTTGGGTGCTGACCCATTTGTTTTGTCTCATTCTCTTCCATGATTCATTCCCAGAGCCTAGAAAAACTGCAAACTAGAAACTGTTCTTCTCTGGAGTTATTTCTTTTCTAAGTTGATTAGCGGGTCATACTCATGAAGAATATAAAAAACCACGTTTTAGAATATTTAATGTCTCTGGATACAAATACTTATATACATGTTGTCATTAGGTGTCCTCCAGTTGGTTCCCACTCATAGTGACCCTGTTTACAACAGAACGAAACACTGCCTGGTCCTGTGCCGTCCTCACAATCATTGCTATGTTTAAGCCAATTGTTGCAGCCACTGTGTCAACCCACCTTGTTAAGGATTTTCCTCTTTTTCACTGACTCTCTGCTTTACCAAGCATGATGTCCTTCTTCAGAGACTGGTTCCTCCTATATACATTGCAACTGATAATAAAATGGCAGTGATGTCTTTGGCAGAATTTTATCTAGGTCTTTGTGTTTCTCCCGTACCTTCTACTCTTCTCATGGCTTTGATATATTTCTGACTACCTAGTCTCAGTTCTTGAATTAATCCATGGATTTGTATTGCTCTGTTGTTGGCTTAATACTTTGGCTGTTTAACTTTCATTGTAGGACTTACAATTTTGTCTATTTCTACTTAACTCACCTTTGCAACCAGATTCCTTTCTCAGGAATTTTCCAGATTTTGTGTTAATCTGTTTTCTATTCACCAGTTTTCAGTTTCTTCTCTTTAGTGTGGTTGGACACCTACACACCTGAGAGCTGACCTTTTGCTGTGCTTTTGGCTCCCAACTTTCTATGTCCAACAGACATTTTTTCCTTTTTACCACTTTCTGTAATTGGGAATAAAAATTTTATTTATTCTCACTTATTTTATGTAAGAAATACAAGGAATGTCTTGGTAAGGAATGTCTTCCTTGTAGTTCTTGCAGGCTTTATGTTTGATAACATTCCCTCCTAGCCAACAAGGCTCTAGTCCCCTGCTCCCCGACACACAGACCCAGCATATAGGCTGTGGCAGTGTGACCTAGCTTAGGTTATCCTTCCAACTTTCTTTAGAAGATTTTCACGTATCCTTTTTTAGTGACTAAGACATCTCAGTCTTTTTCCTCTAGATATCAGAGCACCGTATACAGATGAAGCAACCTCTACTCTCAAACCTTACCAACAGTTTTGTAGTCCAGCTGCAATAGCTTTGCTCTCATCACTTATATTTGTGCTATTATATCTTGGCTCTAAAAGATTTAAATGTAACAGATTGCCTGATAAATTTTATTAGGAATATGGAGATTTGTTTTTATTTACCACTTTCTATAAATGAGAGTGAAAAATTTATTTATTCTCACTTATTTTATGTGGCCTCTTGGTAAGGAATATCTGCCTTGTAGTTCTAGCAGGCTTAATGTTTGATAACCCTTCCTTTTCTTCCCCAAGGACTCCACTGTGCATGTGTGTTCACGTACACTCTCTTGCTCTCATTTTCTCTCATGCACGTATGCATATTCACACATAAACACATTCTTGGTTGGGAGCTTTTCATTCTATTGAGCAGATAAGAAGCTTAAACTAGAGAGATTGTAGGAATAAGGAAAAGAAAGTGGTATTTAACATTGGTGCTAAAAAAAAAAATTAACTGAGATGGTCATATTCTACCCTTGCTCTGCTTCCAACATTATTTGAAGCAACTTAGGTGGGCCTGACACTGATTCCCTGAGAACATCCTCCCCTCTCTGTAGCCACGCTCACCACTCAAGTTGTACTTGACTACTTTTGTGGTATCTCTTCCCCATTTCTCATTCAAGATTGAGATTTATTTAAATTAGATTTCTACTGTGAAAATGCTATGAATATGGTATAAGAGTAAGGCCTGTATTTTCATTTATTAAAAATTTGGGCTGTGAGATCAAGAAAAATCATTGGCGATGCTAAGCAGTTCTTGTTTTTCTTCTTTGTTATTTGAAACTTTGAGGCATGGGGTATCTAGAACTGGGAAGGCCTTCATACAGATTCATGAAACTACCTTAGTTTTTTCAAGACTACCCTGTTATCATCTATGAGGACAATTTTGTTGTTAGCTGCCATCGAGTTGGCCCCTGAGTTACGGTGACCCCATGCACAAGGGACTAAATGCTGCCCCGTCCTGTGCCATCCCCATGATCAGTTGTGGATCAGACCATTATAATCCATAGGATTTTCAGAAGATCATCAGACCTTTCTTCTTACTCCATCTTAGGCTAGAAGCTCCACTGAAACCTGTTCAGCACCATAACAACACATAAGCCTCCGCTGGCAGATGGATGGTGGCTACTCAGGAGGTGCATTGGCTGGGAATCGAACCTGGGTCTCACACATACCCGTTGCCGTTGCCGTCGAGTCGATTCCAACTCCTAGTGACCCTATAGGACAGAGTAGAACTGCCCCATAGAGTTTCCAGGGAGTGCCTGGTGGATTCGAACTGCCGACCGTTTAGTTAGCAGCCATAACTCTTAACAACTATGTCACCAGGGTTTCCATCTCACACACAGAAGGCAAGAATTCTACCACTGAACCACCAATAACTAGCTTTTAATGTGTGCCTGCTATGTACCAGACACTGTGCTAAGTATTTTATACATATGATTGTTAATCACTACGTTAATAGCAAAGTTGGCCAAGTTTTACAGATGAGAAAGCTGAGGTTAAGAGAGGAGATTAAGTAACATACCTGAGGTCACACAGCTAGTAAATGATAGGATCTAAATTTAATTCCAGGTTTGTCTGATTCTAAATCCTTCACCTTTTCCACTACATAAAATTTGTCTTTCAACCAGCAGTTGATATGAATATCTGTGATGAGGCACAACTATACAGGGGCAGCAAAAACAGGAGAAAGGATACAAGATACAAGATTATTGGATTTCTGTTTTCAAATATGGCAGATTTTTATTTTATACCTCAAAAATTTGTAATCAAATTAGAGAAGAATTTGTTAAAATTCTGAATGTAAATTGTTAACATTTCTAGTAAGAAAGTTAATAATCTTGCTTCAAATGTAAGAGTCACCAACAATGGATTTTCTATCTCTAGTTTTAAGACAAAATTGGCTGCATCATTGGCAAGATGTCGAATCAAACACGATGCTCTTTCAATTTACCACATTCTACCAGAAACAGTTAGAAAACAGGAACTAAGGGCCTCCACTTTGCCACTTTATGCTTGGGTAAATACTTGCAAAGTCAGGTAAGAGTTTTAAACAAATCTCTTATATTTCAAGTCTCCAGCCTTCCAAAATAATGTGATAAGAAATATTACCTTTTTGGAGGGGTGAGGTGGAGGTGGTGGTCGTTGGGGGAATTATAGTTTAGTTCAGGATCTTATTATGAAATTCCCAAAGGTAATTACATAAACATGTTAATTTTGCTGTCTCTAATTGCCTTTTAATTTACTGTTGGCAAAATTATAAGTTCCTTTTGATATAGTATATGCAGTTGAGATTTTTCTTTATTGCAGGAAAAAGATATTAGTATTAAACATATTCTAGTGTATTTTTAATTCCAAACTAATATTGTATATTTACAGCCCTGAAGAAGTTTATAGTAATTTGAAGAAAAAAGGCTATCATAAAGTCAAATCTGTATTGCATATTGATGATAAAGTCTTTGCTGTGGACAAACATTGCTATGATGTCTTAATTTTCCCATCTCATCTTAAAAATGATCTTCTAAGTATAGATCTTTTCAAGGATTATAAACTTATATTTCAGGTAAACTAACATTACTTTCATTGTGAGTCTTATCTAACAATCCTACTTAGTCAAAGAATTCCTCCGCCTAAAAATAAAACCTAACATTATTTCTACTTTTTATGGGTTATCAGGGAGGTGTATAAGGCCTAATTGTCACCTTGAATAAAATTAATCAAAAGGTCAGCAGTTCAACAGAGAAATAAGAGCTGTCACATGAATAGATATATGCACACACATGTTCATTGCAGCACTGTTCACAATAGCAAAAAGATAGAAACAACCTAGGTGCCCATCAACAGATGAATGGATAAACAAATTATGGTATATCCACACAATGGAATACTACGAAACAATAAAGAACAACGATGAAGCCGTGAAACATAACATGTAGGAATCTGGAGGGCATTATGCTGAGTGAATTTAGTCAGTCACAGAAGGACAAATATTGTATAAGACCACTATTATAAGAACTCAAGAAAACGTTTAAACATAGAAGACAACATTCTTTGATGGTTACGAGGGTGGGGAGGGAAGGTGAGGTTTTTTTCACTAACTAGATAGTAGAGAAGAATTATCTTAGGTGAAGGGAAGGACAGCACCCACTACAGGGGAAGTCAGCACAGCTGGACTAAACCAAAGCTAAGAAGTTTCCTGAATACAACCAAATACTTCAAGGGACAGAGTAGCAGAGGCGGGAGTCTGGGGACCATGCTTTCAGGGGACATCTAGGTCAATTGGCATAACAAAGCTTATTAAGAAAATGTTCTGCATCTTACTTTGGTGAATGGTGTCTGGGATCTTAAAAGCTTGCAAGCAGCCGTCTAAGATGCATCAATTGGTCCCAGCCACCTGGAGTAAAGGAGAAGGAAGAACACCAAAGCCACAAGGACAGTATTAGCCCAGGAGACAGAAAGGGCCACATAAACCAGATACTTCATCAGCCTGAGACCAGAGGAACTGGATGGTGCCTGGCTACCACCAATGACCACCCTGACAGGGAACACAACAGAGTCCCTTACGGAGCAGGAGAAAGGTGGGGTGCAGAACACAAATTCTAGTAAAAAGACCAGACTTAATGGTCTGACAGAGACTGGAGGAATCCCGGAAAGCATGGCCCCTGGACTCTGTCAGCCCAGAACTAAAACAATTTCCAAGGCCAACTCTTCAAACAAAGATTGGTCTAGACTGTGGGACATAAAATGATACTCGTGAAGAGTGTGCTTCTTAGCTGAAGTAGATACATGAAACTAAATGGGCAGCTTCTGTCTGGAATTGAGATGAGAAGGCAGACAGGGTTAGGAGCTGGTTGAACGGACATGGGAAATCATGGGTGGAAAAGTGGAGTGTGCTGTCACAGGATAGGGAGAGCAATTAGGGTCACATAACAATGTATGTATACATTTCTGTATGAGAGACTAACTTGAAATGTAGACTTTCACTTAAACTACAACAATAAACAAACAAAAAAAAAGGTCAGCAGTTTGAATCCACCAGCCACTCTTTGGAAACCCTATGGTGCAGTTCTTGTTTGTTGTATAGGATCACTATGAGTTGGAATTGACTTGATGGCAGTGGGTTTGTTTGTTTGTTTGTTTTTTACACTCAGTGCTTATATTATACATTGGCATCTTTATTCCATGTGAAGTTGTAAAGAACATATTTTTTTCCTCAGACTCCATAGATTGGAAGAACTTATATTGCTGGCAGCTGAAAGGCTGTATTTTTCTCTCCTAAGGGAGAATTCAAGAGAAAGTACAATGACACTTTTTCTTCCCTCCATTTCTGGGGAAGATACATTGCTAGTGCCATCCTGTATAGGAAAAAGCGATGTATAATACTTTCCCATACTCTCTTTAATAGTCTTAAGAGCTTTGATTTATAAGAGGTATATAATAGCTAGATCCCTGGGTTGTACAAACAGTTTGCAGTCGACTACTAACTGTAAGGTTGGTGGTTCAAACCCACCCAGTGGTGTCACAGAAGAAAGTCCTGGAATTCTGCTTCCATAGAATGTTATAGCCAAGAAAACCTCTGGAGCAGTTCTAGTCTGTAACACAGGAGGTTGCCGTGAGTCAGAACTGACTTGACAGCAGCAGGCTTGGTTTTTTACACAGTGAAACCTATGAGAGCCAGAACTTGACGAGACTGCCTTGTTTTTCCGGGTCTTGCAAGTTTTCCGCCTTTGACAAGGTGCAGTCTTACCACTTTTCTATCACTCTCTATTAGTGGGAAATATTTGAGTTTTCCTTCTCTGACAGATTTCCATGTTACACAGGTTCCGGCTTCACAGGTTTTAGTGTATAATGGTTACCGATGCAAGGTATAATATGGGTTCAATAGAATAAAAAATAAAAGGTCTAAAAACTTAGGTTAAATTCATTTTCTGTCTTTAGATTCCAATACTTGTCTCAGATTCACCTTGGTCTTCCTTACTATCGTATTCTTGGGCAGAATCTCTTGACCTTTTTTGTAGTGACACCATATCAAACACTGAGATCAACTGCAGAAATCCAATCTGTCAAAATCTCTTTTATAAGCTTCTCAAACTTATTACTTTTAATCTCTGTGAGCTAGCAGCAATTTAAATGACAATGTAATGGGAAGAAAGAATGGCAGTAGTAGATAAATGGATTTTCATGAAGGGGTAAGAATAGGAGCTAAGACAGGACATCACTAATCTAGTAGTCACATCTTTGTGATTTTTGATTTTGGGATTGCTTTATCACTATATGAAAGTTAAATGATAATAGTCATAATCTAGGCTAAACAAAATTATAGTTTTTTCTTTAAATACATATATTATCTTTATTCATTTTTTATTTACACATATATTCAGATGTTTTAAACTAAATGGATTGGGTATCTCTTCAAGATTCCTACCAAGTATTTTCTTTTTTTCTAAGACAAAAAGAAGTTAGTTTATGCCTTTAGTCATACCCTTTGAAATTCTAATCACACCATTATCTTGTAGGACAAATCTCGAAGTCTTGCTGTCCATTCGGTAAAGGCTTTATTGAATATGGATGATGACATCTTAATGGTCAATACAGGTTCTTGGTACACAGTTGCCCATATGTCAGTCTTAACAAATAATAACACCTCAAAAATATTTGTTTGTGGAGTAGAATCACAAGCTAAGGATCCTGACCTGAAAAACCTTTTCACAAAAATGGGATGTAAAAGTACGTACAAATATTTGTTTGGTAATTATAGTTCTACATTTTTTTTGTAAAGTAAAAACTATATATATGAACTATACTCTTAAAATCCTCACTAATCCATATTATACCAGGCTGTTCTTTTCACTTATTTTTGGTTAAACAACTGCAGGTTAAATTAGTGAATGTATTGGTACTTTGGTATAGTGCTTGACATTTAGCTACTATATCATTTGAGGCTCAAACAACAAATAGCTAAAGTAGGTGGTAGAAATTATCATTAAATAAATAAAGGCACAGTCACAGAAGTGCTTGAGAGGCAAGGATAATATCTAGGACTACGAACTAAGTCCCTTAGCCTTCTTGTTTCTTAATAATTTTTCCATTGGCTCACGCAGTGGATAGAGATCACATTTTAGTATAGGTTCAATGAGGGTGAGAAACTGAGTAGAACTTTTGACAGGTTCACAAGGTTAGGGAGACAAAAAGTAGAATTCAGGGCTTGACCAGAAATAGCCTGGTAAACACCCAGGATTTCACTTAGGGGCACAGAAAGAGTATATCCTGTGTAGAGATAAATTCTCCAATGGAGTAAAGCCCAGATTTCAGTCATCTGAATTCCTAATTGGATTAAAGTGATCTGGGATTGCTAGTAAATGATCTCTGGAAGACGATACATCATCCTAGGTCTCAAATTATCTCCTAAAATTTTTCAAATACTATGTCTGGCACTCAGTAAAAAATAATGAGGCAAACAAGAAGAAAAGACATGACTGAAAATCAAGACAAAAATACAACACTAAAATACTACACTGAAAACACACCTACAAAGAATCCAGATACTGGAGATAATAGACATCAGTTTGACGTGTCAACTTGGCTTGGCTATGTTGTTGTTAGGTGCTGTTGAGTCAGTTCTGACTCATAGCAAACCTGTGTACAACAGAACAAAACACTTCCTGGTCTTGCACAATCATCACAGTTGTTGCTATGTTTGAGCCCATTTTTGCAGCTGCTGTGTCACTCCATCTCATTGAGGGCCTTCCTCTTTTTAGCTGACTCTCTGCTTTACCAGGCATGATGCCGTTCTCCAGGGACTGGTCCCTCCTGATAACACATCCAAAGTATGTGAGATGAAGTCTTGCCATCCTCGCTTTTAAAGAACATTCTGGTTGTACTTCTTCCAAGACAGATTTGTTCGTTCTTCTGGCAGTCCATGGTATATTCAGTATTCTTTGCCAACACCATAATTCAAAGGCATCAATTTTTCTTTGGTGTTCTTTATTCATTAAGCCGATTATTTAATCAAACACTAACCTAGGTGTTTCTATGAAGGTATTTTGTAGATGTGGTTAACATCTACAATCAGTTGATAAAGGAGATTACCTTCTATAATGTAGGTGGGCTTCACTCTGTTAGTTGAAGGCTTTAAGAGCTAAAAGTGAGCTTTTCAGGGGAAGAAAAATTTCTGCCTCAAGACTGCAGGCTCAACTCCTGTCTGTGTTTCCAGCCTGTCCTATACATTTCAGACTGGCCAGCCCCCATAGTCATGTGAGTCTGTTCTTTAAAGAAATATATTACTGATTCTGTTTCTCTGGAGAGCCTGACTGATATTGATGTAGACTTTAAAATAACTATGATTAATATGCTCAAGTTTTAGAATTTCATCAGAGAACTGGAAACTGTAGTTAAAAAGAGGTAAGAGAAAATTCTACAACTGAAAAATAAAATAGATGAAATTAAGAAATAAAATGGATGTAGTTAAAACAGTAGATTAGACACAGCTAAAGAAAGAATAAATCAACTGATAGGCCAGAAGAAAATATCCAGCTTGAAGCGGGGGGCGGGCAAAAGGATGGATGCCGTAGAAGAGATCACAAGACACACATAAGATCCAGTGATCTCATGTATGTTCTGATTGGAATCCCAGAAAGATAGGAGAAAAGGAATTGGGATGAATCAATATTTGATGAATTTCAGGCTGGGAATTTTCCAAAATGGATGAAAGATACAAAGCTGTAAATGTAAAAATCCCAATAAACTCTAGAAAAGATAAATATACAGAAAACTTTCTTAGGCATATCATGAACATAACTTCTGAATACCACAGACAAATAGAAATTTTAAAGGCAGACAGAGATAACATACATATTACCTTCAAAGGAATAAAAATAAGACTGAAAACTATTCAACAGAAACAATTGAAGCCAGAAAACTATTAAAGAATGTCTTCACAGTGCTGAAAGAAACTGCTAGGCTAGGTTTCTAGATCCAACAAAAAATAACTTTTAAAATAAAATGAAATAAAAATATTCTCAAACAAAATCTGAGTTTCTCACTAGCAGACATAATAAAGGAAATGCTAAGGATTATTGTTTGGGTAGAAGGAATATTATTGCATACAGAAAGTTGGATATGCTGGAAGAAATGAAGAACAATGGGAAATGCAAAGTATATAGGTAAATCTAAATGATTATAATCTGATGTCTTGTGGAGTGGTAAACTAATGTCTTCTGAGGTTAAAAATATGTATATTATATGTAATCAAGATAAATTACAACAATGGTACATAACTTTGGGGAGAGGGAAATGGAATTAATGTGTTCTATGATCTTTGCTTTGTCCAGGAAGTGGCAAAAGTAGTAAATTAAGTATGGTGTGTGTTATAATTTCTGAGGTAATCAATAGAAGAATAATAAAAGAATGTGTAACTAATAGCTAAGGGGGAGGGGGAATGGAATATTAAAAGTACCAATCAAAAAAAAGAAAAAGAAAAGGCATATAGAAAAAGACGAAGAGACAGCAAATAGGATGGTAGATTAACCCAAAACATATCAGTAAACACACTAAATATAAATGGACAAAACACTTAAAAGATAAAGAACATCAGTACTGGATTTATAAAAATCAACTATATACTATTGACAAGAGATACTCCTTGTAGCGTCTGGGGTCTTAAAAGCCTATGAGCAGTCACCTAAGATACTCCACTGGTCTCATCCCTTTGGAAGCAAGGGAGAATGAAGAAAACAAGATACAAGGGAAAGATTAGTCCAAAGGACTAATGGACCACAACTACCATGGCCTCCACCAGACTGAGTCCAATACAACTAAATGGTGCCCAGCTACCACCACTGACTGCTCTGACAGGAATCACAACAGAGGGTCCCGGACAGAGCTGGAGAAAAGTGTAGGGCAAAATTCTAACTCACAAAAAAAGACCAGACTTACTGGCCTGACAAAGAGTGGAGAAACCCCGAGAGTATGGTCCCTGGACACCCTTTTAGCTCAGTAATGAAGTCACTCCTTAGGTTCACCATTCAGCCGAAGATTAGACAGCCCTATAAAACAAAACAAGTCTAATGGTGCACAACAGTCCAGGGACAAGGACTAGAAGGCAGGAGGGACAGCAAATCTGGTAATAGGGAACCCAAGGTTGAGAAGGGACAGTGTTGACATGTCATGGGGTGGTTAACCATTGTCATAAAACAATATGTTTACTAACTTTAATGAGAAAGTATTTGTTCTGTAAACCTTCATCTAAAGTACCAAAAAAAAAAAAAGATACTCCTTAAACTTAAGGATACAAAAAAACTGAAATGGACAGAAAAAATATGCAATGCAAACATTAACAAAAGATCTACAAAACAGACTTAAGAACATTACTAGAAATAGAGACATTTATAATTATGAAATTATCATCAGGAAGATAAAACATTTTTAAAAATGTGTGTACCTAAAAAGTTCTGAATGTGTTAAGATTTGTACTTGTGCAATAACCCACCAACTTTTAACCCATTATCAATGTCTGAGCTACACAATGATTATCTTTTCTAGCTGGAGTTTGTTGTGGATGTGTTCCAACTGATAGTTCTGTTTTTCTGTTTGAAGCCCGTTGTATTAGTGACACTATGGTCTCTCTCTCTGTCCCTGACTCTTTTGGCTTATCTACCCTTATAAGTGGATTTTGGACTCTATTTAAATAATCACTGTCCATTATGTTTTTCTGCAGATGCTAACTGAATTGCCTTTAAGTGGTTTTCCCTGACTTTGTTTGCAGTGAGCTGAACTAATGAACTAAAAATAAGTTAGTGTTTTAAATTTGTATAAAACATATACAGGAACAGCCTGCTCTTTCATTTTGTAGCTCAAAGGTAGCTGAAATTTTAAGTATTTATGAAAAGTAAATACATCTATTATTAGGGAAAAAAAATCAAACGTGTATACCTAATAATATGGTCCCCAAATATTAAGACTAAATTGACCCGAACCAGCAGATGACATGATCTTGTATTTAGAAAATACTAAGGAATTCATGGAAAACTATTAGAACCAGTAAATGAATACAACAAGGTTGGCTCATTTGTCCATTGATACATGGACAGTATACGAAAATCAGTTGTATTTCTATACATTATCTTTGAACATTCTGGTTGTAACAACCTGAATGCTGCTTATAAGGATGGCAAGACTTTGTCTTGCTTATTTTGGACACGTCATCAAGAAAGACCAATCACTAGAAAAGGATATCATGTTTGGTAAAACCAGAGGGTGAGCAATAACGAGGGAGACCCTCAGTGAGATGAATTGAAACACTAGTCTCTAATATATCAAAGATCATGGAAGGGGCACAGGACCAGGCAACATTTTGTTTTGTTATACTTAAGGTTTCCAGGAGTCAGAGCTGATTGTACAGCAACTAATAACAGTGAGGAACAATCTGAAATGAAATGTGAAAAAATCTATAATAACAAAAAAATCAATAAAATAGGAACAAATTTAATAAAAGAAGTGCAACTCTTGTACACTAAAATTACAAAACATTATTTAAAGAAATTAAAGAAGAACCCAAAGAATTGACAACAAAACAAACAAAAACATCCTGGAACTAATAAGTGATTATAGCAAGGTTGCAGGATACAAGGTTAATACACAAAAGTTAATTGCTTTCCTATATACCAGCAATGAACAATTGGACTTTAATATTAAAAACACAGTGTCATTTATATTAGCTTCAAAGAAATGAAATGCTTAGGTATAAATCTAATGAAACATATACAAGATCTGTATGAGGAAAACTACAAAAATCTGATGAAAGAAATCAAAGAAGATCTAAATAAATGGAGAGATATTTGATTTTTATGAATTGGAAGACATACTATTATTAAGATGTTAATTCTTCCCAGCTGGGTCTATAGATTTAACACAATCCCAATCAAAACCCGAGCATCTCCTTTTGTGGGTATTGACAAACTGATTCTAAAGTTACATGGAAAGGAACAAGATCCAGAATAGCCAACACAATACTGCAGAAGAAGAGCACTGGAGGACTGAAATAAAAGAAGACATGAATAAAAAGAAAGCCATTTCATGTTCATGGATCGGAAGATTTAATATTGTTAAGATGACAGTACTCCCCAAATTGATCTACAGATTAAATGCAATCCCTATAAAAATCTCCGCTGGCTTTTTTTTTTTGGCAGAAATTAACAAGCTCATCCTAAAATACACATGGAAATGCAAGGGACCAAGAACAGCCAAAACAATCATGTAGTTCTTGATACCACAAAGTCAGTTTTTTTCTTTATTGTTGTAGTTAAATGAAGTTTGCATTTCAAGTTAGTTTCCTATACAAAATTTTATACATACATTGTTATGTGACCGTAACTGCTCACCCCATTCTGCAACAGCACACTCCTCCTTTCTGCCCCTGATTCCCTATGACCATTCAACCAACTCCTAACCCTCTCTGCCTTCCCCTCTCACCTCTGGACAGAAGCTGCCCCTTTGGTCTCTTGTATCTGCTTGACTAAGAGGCACACGCTTCACGAGTACCACTTTATGTCCCAGAGTCCAGTCCAATCCCTGTCTGAAGAGTTGGCCTCAGAAATTGTTTTAGTTCTGGGCTGATAGAGAGTCCAGGAGCTATGCTTTCCAGGGTACCTCCAGTCTCAGTCAGACCATTAAGTCTGCTCTTCTTACTAGAATTTGAGTTCTGCAACCCATCCTTCTGTTGCTCCATCAGAGACTGTCTGTTGTGTTCCCTGTCAGGACGTTCCTTGGTGGTAGCCGGGCGCCATCTAGTTCTTCTGGTCTCAGGCTGATGACACAAAGTCAATTTAGTGGAAGAATATAACACTGCCTGTGAAGCAGGTTTGTCTCACTAGGGGAAAAGAAAAAAGAAAAAAAGAACTTGAATATAATTAATCTTCTAAAGATCCAACTGCCAATTTTTTGAAGTATAATAGAGGAACATGTTAAATTACACCGTAGGGAAGCAATAGGCAAAATCCAGACTCTGGCAAACTAGTACAATTAACCAAGTTTCATTAGGAAATAAATTGTAAGAAAAAATGGAGGGGGAACCTACAGATAAAAAGAAATTTAAAATAAGACTTATCAGCCAGTTGCGATATATATGTTTTATTTAGATCCTGATTCAAACAAATGAAAACCATCATTACATGTGTGAGACTACTGGGAAATTTGTACCACAATTGGATATTTAATGAAAATAAGGAATTATTTTTTTAAAAAACTGTGTGGTTGGATTTAAAAAGGAGTATTTATCTTTTTTTTTTTTCCTTAGAGACACATCTGAAAATATTTATGGATTAAAAATAATAATAGGTGGGTGGGAGTGGGTGCAGATATAGATGACACAAGATTGGTCATGAATGGATTGTTATTGAAGCTCTGTGATGGGTACTTGAGAATTTATTATATCATTATGTCTATTTTTGTATATGCTTAAATTTTTCCGATAAAAATTAAAAATGGAAATAGAAAAAAGAAAAAACTCACTTAGTTTTTAAAAAACAATTTCAAAAGAGAAGAGAATAGGAAGAGGGAAAAAATTGATCAGGCAAGAGAAAGAGGGTGGATGGGATAATTTCTAGAATGATTCCTAGAGCCTTGTTTTTTGCCAGTGCCTTCAGTGCAGCTTGGACTTCTTCCTTCAGTACCATCAGTTCTTGATCTTATGCTGCCTCCTGAAATGGTTGAACATAAACCAATTCTTTTTGGTACAATGACTCTGTGCGAAGACTGTATCTTCTTTTGATGCTTCCTGCATTGTTCCGTATTTTGTCCATAGAATCCTTCACTATTACAACTTGAGGCTTGAATTCTTTCAACTTGAGAAAGGCTGAGCATGTTCTTCCCTTTTGGTTTTCCAATCCAGGTCTTTGCACATTTCATTATGATATTTTACTTTGTTTTCTCGAGCCGCCCTTTGAAATCTTCTGTTCAGCTCTTTTAGTTCATCATTTTTTCTGTTCATTTTATCTACTCGACATTCCAGAGCAAGTTTCAGAGTCTTTTCTGACATCCATTTTGGTCTTTCTTTCCTGTCTTTTTAATGATCCCTTGCTTTCTTCTTGTATGATGTTCTTGATGTCATTCCACAACTCATCTGGTCTTTGCTGCCTTCTCAAAGTAGAGTCAACCTTAATGATGGGGATGGAGTCGAGCTTTTGGGATCGTCATCTGCTGATGCAGCACGACTCAAAATGAGAATAAATAGCTACAAACGTCCATTAATAACTGGAACATGGAATGTACGAGGTCTGAATCCAGGAAAATTGGAAGTTGTCAAAAATGAAATGGAATGCATAAAGATCGATATCTTAGGCATTAGTGAGCTGAAATGAATTGGTATTGGTCATTTTGAATTGGACAATCATATGGTCTACTATGCTGGGAATGACAAATTGAAGGGGAATGGCATTGTATTCATCTTCAAAAAGAACATTTCAAGATCTTTCCTAAAGTACAGCACTGTCAGTGATAGGATAATATCCATATGCCCACAAAGAACACCAGTTAATACGACTATTATTCAAATTTACGCACCAACAACTAAGGCCAAAGATGAAGAAACTGAAGATTTTTACCAACTTCTGTAGTCTGAAATTGATTGAACATGCAATCAGGATGCATTGATAATTACTGTGGATTGGAATGCAAAAAAAGTTGGAAACGAAGGATTGGTAGTTGGAAAACACAGCTTTGGTGATGGAAGTGATGCTGGAGATCGAATGATAGAAGTTTGCAAGACCAATGACTTTTTCATTGCAAATACCTCTTTTCAACAACATTAACAGCAACTAAACACATGGACTTCGCCGGATGGAATACACAGGAATCAAGTCAACTGCATCTGTGGAAAGAGATGATGGAGAAGCTCAATATCATCAGTCAGAACAAGGCCAGGGGCTGACTGTGGAACAGACCATCGGTTGCTCATATGCAAGCTCAAGTTGAAGCTGAAGAAAATTAAAACAAGTCCATGAGATCCAAAGTATGACCTTGAGTATATACCACCTGAATTTAGAAACCATCTCAAGAATAGATTTGAATAGATTCCTCAGTAGGTGAGGGGAATGGGAGCCACTGTAGAGGTGAAATGATTGTTCTTAAGACAGAGGTACAGATAATTGTAACTTGACAGAAAGCAGACTCTGTTAAAATACAGTGTCCCTGAGGATATGGATCATATTTTACATCAGTTTGTATAGGTTCAGCACTTTAGACTGTGCCTCATAAATGATACTGGAACCTTTTTTTATAGGGAAGGTAGATATATAAGGTCATAAAAAATGTGAAAGGGAAAGAATAAATATTGAGCATTTACTGTAAACCAGCACTATGCTAAGCTTACTTACTTTATCTCAATCTTCACCACAATTACATGAGGCAGGCATTATTAGGAAATTGAGGTTTAGAGAGATAAAGTCACACAGTACATAATGAAGTTAGGAGTCAAATTCAGGCCTTTCTATCTCCAAAGCCCATTCCCCCTACTATATTACGCTGCTTTAAGTTGAACCTGAAGTTCAGAATGGGAAATTTGAATTATATTTTATGTAGAAGATATTTAAATTTCAACACCATTCTCAGGTGAAGGAGAAAGCAATCTGTAATTCCTGTATTAACTTTGGGAAGTTACCAGAGAAGCATAGCCCTCTTTTCTGAGTACGTTAAAATGAGTTTTTGTGGGCTTGAGGATTTAAAAATGAACAATGATCAAATAGCTATAATCACATACTGCATATTTTTAATTAGTATTTTAACATTAATTTTTCTTTGTTTTTTTCTACCAGATATTGAAATACTTCACGAGACATTTATTAACATTGAATCAAAGGATCATAGGTTACAGAAAGTTAAAGTGATTCTGCTTCTACCTCGTTGTTCAGGACTGGGTGTCAGTAACCCAGTAGAATTTATTTTAAATGAACATGAAGGTACTTGTTTGATTTTAAATCTTTAAATTATTGAAAATTATTGATAATAATTAAAAAAAATAAAATTATTTAAATTCATTAAAGTGACATTGGTATCAAATATATCTGATTGAGGGATAATAGCTATCACATATGAAATATTTATTATGTGCAAAATACTTAACATCCGTTACCTTATTTAGTCCTTATATGAAGCCTGTGAGATGTGAGCAAGGGTGATATAAAAAATATTTAATAATTGGAATGATGTAGGCACCAACTAATTAGAACAAATGCTGGCCAGTATGCTATTCTGGTATGTACTAGAGCTCTAGATATAAGTATTAAAATTTATCAGCATTTTATAGATGAAAAAACTGAGACCCAGAAAGATTAATTTATCTTTATCAGGTCACACACTGGTTAGTAGCAGAGCTAGGATTCAAATTTAGAGCTGCCTGACTATAGAACCTGTGTTCTAAACACAATTCTAATTAAATAATTACTATTAAATACTATTAAATAATTAAATAATTATATCTTACTAAAGACTTTTCTTAACCCCCAGTATGTATGTTTTATACTATAAATACTTCAGACTAAACATTAATGCTAGGAGTATTTTAGGGGCTTTTAATAAATTTCAAAATAATAATTAACATTAAAATTTATAAGCACTTATAGGTGAGGCAGAGCTCTGGTGGCACAGTGGTTAAGCGTTCAGCTGCTAACCAAAAGGTTGGCAGTTAGAATCCACCAGCTGCTCGTTAGAAACTCTATGGGGCAGTTCTACTCATGGCGTCCTGTAGGGTCTCTATGAGTCAGAATCGAATCGATGGCAACAAGGTTTTTTTTAATATGTAAAGGTATTGAGCTGGGCACTTTACTTGGATTATTTCATAAAATCCTCAGAAGAACTCAATAATGTAGTTACTCTTATTATCTCTGTTTTACAAATAAGGAATCTGAGGCTCAGAGAGGTTAATGAAGTTGCCCAGAATCCAGCAAGTTAAGTGTCAGAGCCTGGATTCAGACACAAGCAGTCTGACTCCAAGGCTGGCACTTTTAATCACTCTTAATCCAGCATTACATTGCCCCAAATTAACTGAAACTGATTCTTCTCTAATACCTTGCTTATACTGAAAGGCATAGATAAAATTAACTAGAATATTGAAAAAGAAGGCATTCCATCAACCTACAATATAGTGACTGTTTTCTGTTTCTAGAGAGGACAGAATTGAAAATGGAGGAAAGGAAGTGGAGGGAAAGGAGCTAGTATTTATTAATGACAACTATGTGCCTGGTGCTATTCTAGGTAGTCCACATGCACTATCACTTAATAATCTACAATAACTTTTGTTTTTTACTTAAAACAACACTCATTTATTGCTCATGATTCTGGCGTTTGGCAATTTGGGCAAGGTTCAGCTGGAATGGCTCCCCTCTGCTCCATTGGTATTGGTTAGGCTACTTTTAAGCAAGGGGAAAGGTCAGTTGGCAGGTTGGCTAGGGGCTGGCTTGTACCAGATGGCCTCATTCACATATCTGGTGACAGGCTGGGGTTGTCGGGCAGGTGTCTCAGTTCACCACCACATAATCTGTGTAGCAGGTTAGTTTAGGCTTCCTCATGTGGCAGCTAGATTCCAAGTACAATAACTTTTTAAGGATAGTGTTATATTACTATACTTACTTTACAGAGGAGAAAACTAAGAGAAATTAAGCAGGTTGCCTAAGGTATCTCATAAGTACCTAGTAAACAGGGAAGCTGGAATTCAGATACAAGTCAGCACATTTTCTTTTCACTAAACTACACTGTCATTAACTGAGATTATACTGTGCCATGTGGAATTTTGATTTGTTACAGAATGTCTTTCCAGTGAGAGTTAAACTGGAGAATAATCAACTCAGATGTGAGAATGTGGTTGGTTTAGAAAATTCCTACCCTATTAGACAGTACACAATACTGGGGAAGCCAGTACAACTTGTACAAGGAAAGGTCATGGAAGCTCCGTAGACACATCCAAACTCCCTGAGGGACTGAATTGCTGGGCTGAAGGTTGTGGGGACCATGATCGCGGGGAACATCTAGTTCAACCGGCATAACACAGTTTATAAAGACAATGTTCTGCATTCTATGTTGGTGAGTAGCGTCTGGGGTCTTAAAAGCCTGTGAGCAGCCATCTAAGATACTCCACTGGTCTCATCCGTTCTGGAGCAAGGGAGAATGAAGAGAACAGGATACAAGGAAAAGATTAGTCCAAAGTACTAATTAGCCACCAAGGCCTCCACCAGACTGAGTCCAGTACAGCTAGATAGTGCCCGGCTACCACCACTGACTGCTCTGACAGGAATCACAACAGAGGGTCCTGGACAGAGCTGGAGAAGGATGTAGAACAAAATTCTAACACACACAAAAAAGACCAGATTTACTGGCTGAGAGAGACTGGAGAAACCCCGAGAGTATGGCCCCCAGGCACCCTTTTAGCCCAGTGGTGAAGTCACTCCCAAGGTTCACCGTTCAGCTGGGGACTGGACAGCCCCATAAAACAAAATGGGACTAGTGAGGCACAGCAGTCCAGGGACAAGGACTAGAAGGCAGGAGGGGACAGGAAAGCTGGTGATAGGGAACTCAAGGTTGACAAAGGACAGTGTTGATGTGTCGTGGGGTTGTTAACCATTGTCCTAGGGCAATATGTGTACTAACTGTTTAATGAGAAACTATTCTGTAAACCTTCATCTAAAGTACAAAAAAAAAAAAAAAAAATTATGTGAGATCCAATTGACAACAGCAGCTCAAAAGGTTTGATGGGAAGCCTGGGGGCAGTGAGTTGAAGATAATGGTGATGGAATAATTTGGAAAAGGATAGTGAGAATAAATAGCAGCACAACTGGAAGAACGTAATTGACGTCACTGAATTGTACATGTAGAAATTTTTGAAATGGTATATGTTTGACTATGTGTATTTTCACCAATAAAGAAAAAAGGTCCTCCAAGGTCAAGAAGGGAGAGTGTTGACATGTTGTGGGTTTGTTAACCAGTGTCATAAAACAATATGCATACTAACTGTTTAATGAGAAACTACTTGTTCAGTAAACCTTCACCTAAAGTACAATTAAAAAAAAATTTAAAAAGAAAATCCCTACCCTAAATTAGGGAAATGATTGAAGAAGAATTAGATGCTGAAAGAAAAAGGGAAGAAAGAGCAGCAGCTATAATAAACATAGCAGTCAGGAAGCCTAGAACTTAGAACTGTGAAACTCTGGCCTTATTCTGGGCTAGGCTGGGTGGACTGGAACCTCCAGCTTTTTGGTTAGCAGCTGAGCGCATTAACCGGTTTGCATTACCAGCAAATGAGGTGTTGCTGACCTAGTGTCTGCAGTGGAAATAGTAGTCACAAAATTGGTTGCCGTGAATCCAAAAGATTATTTTATTGGACTCAGACACTTGATGGAAGAGAGCAATAATGAGTTAGTTTTGAAAAATATTTTAACATTGAAAAATATTAGAACCATCAAGGAATATGTGAAGTTGGTCATTGCTAACAATTTAGAATTATTTTAAAATGAGATTAAAGAGGTGGATGATACGGTTTTAGAATGTAATAATATATAAATAGTCCTTTAAAAAGTGATGAATGAATGGTTTTAGACTAGAGATAGAAAAACGTGAAGTGTAAAACTAAATTGGTCAGAAATGCAGTTTAATTAAACTTTAGTGATATTACTGGAATGTAGGATGCCAAATATATGGTATAAATAGTTGGCTCTGCATCCCAGGAGTTCTGGAGAGGCAGTGTAATATAGAGGTTAGAATTTGGACTCTCTGGTCAGATTTTTGGACTACAGTCCTGGCTCTGCATTTCATAGCTATGTGATTTAGACAAGTTATTTAATGTATGTTTAAACAGTTTTCTCAATGGTAAAAGGGAAAGTAATGCTTCAAAGAGTTGGTAAAATAATCCATATAAAGCAGCATCCACTATACCTTATTAATATTATCTCATTACCTAAAATTAATATTAACACTAATAATACTATTATATTTATTATAATTACAAATTAATGCATTAATATTTATTAATAATAGCATTAATATTAGTATCATTATCCTAGTCAGTATTATCTTATCAAGGTCAAAGATATCTTAATATTATCAAGAAATATGTTGAAATTTTCAGAAATTTAAAAAATGTAAGAGGCTGTTTCTTGATCTATTGTGAAGACATGCGTTTGCTTTTCTGAACTTTTTCTTCAAAATTTCTTTTAATGAGTGAATGTTTTTAACCATGTCCTTGTGTGTCGTTTTTTACTTGTATCTGACTATAGCTCATCAATTTCTACTTTGGAAAATAAATACTATCTTTTCTTTTTCTGTATTAGTCTCCAGACTGGCTGCATTCTCTCTTCTGTACCTAAATGATTTATTTGACTAGTTGGATGACTAGCTCATAAGAACTTGGAGAAAAAAATAAAAACAATATTATTAAAACTGAACAAAATTACATTTATCTATTTAGCTTTTTAAATTTTTAAGCCAACTTTTTAATAATATCCTGTGTTTAGTTTTAATAAATATTTTCCATAAAAACATTCATTAAATTAATGAAATAATAAATGAAAAATTAAATACTGTGACAATAGCAATATGGGAAAAATACCTAATAGTGATATATTTAACAGCTTTAATTTGCTTTTTAAATTTAGATACAGATTTACTTAAAGATTTCTCTCAAGGAAGAATATCGGAAGATAAACTTCATGTTCTTGCTCAACAGCAATATGAACAGCTAACACATGCAATGAAATGTAAGTTTGTCATCGATACTAATTTTAAATACATGGCAAATCTTAGAAACATTAATACTTAATTTATCTCTTATAATCAGGCAATGAAGAAGTGTGAATCTGAAGTGAATTTTCCAGAACACTAAGTCTTAACAACTTCAAATAGCAAAATATTTATTTTTACCAATTTAAGTTTTAAAAAATATTTGTTTTACTATCATTTTAAACATAGGTTATCAAATATAACTTAATGATTTCTTAATGGTGAATTGAAATAATTATGTATATCCATGATTGTATAGTTTCATCTTTTCTATTTCTTCTCTTTGGTTTCTTGTTGTTTTTGCTGTTAGGTGCATTTGAGTCAGTTCCAACTCATAGTAACGCCATGTACAACAGAATGAAACACTGCCTGGTCTTGCACAATCCTCACAATTATTGCTGTGTTTAGCCCATTGTTGCAGCCACTATACCAATCCATCTCGTTGAGGGTCTTCCTCTTTTTCACTGATCTTCTGCTTTACCAGGCATGACGTCCTTCTACAGGGACTGGTCCCTCTTGATAACATGTCCAAAGTATGTGAGTTGAAGTCTCACCATCCTGTCTTCCAAAGAGCGCTCTGGCTGTACTTCTTCCAGCATAGACTTGTTTGTTCTTCTGGCAGTCCATGGTGTACTTACTGTTCTTCGCCAATACCATAATTCGAAGGCATCAGTTCTTCTTTGGTCTTCCTTATTCATTGTCCAGCTTTTGCATGCATATGAGGTGATTGAAAATATCATAACTTGGTCAGGCTCACCTTAGTCCTCAAAGTGACATCTTTGCTTTTCTATACTTTAAAGAGATCTTTTGCAGCAGATTTGCCCAATGCAATTTGTGTGATTTCTTGATTGCTGTTTCTGTGGACGTTGATTGTGGATCCAAGTAGAATGAAATCCTTGACAACTTCAGTCTTTTCTCCGTTTAGCATGATGTTGCTTATTGGTCCAGTTGTGAGGATTTTTGTTTTCTTTATCTTGAGGCGTAATCCATACTGAAGGCTGTAGTCTTTGATCTTTATCAGTAAGTGCTTCAAGTCCTCTTCTCTTTCAGCAAGTAAAATTGTGTCATTTGCATATTACAGGTTGTTAATTAGTCTTCCTCTAATCCTGATGCCCCATTCTTCTTCATATAGTCCAGCTTCTGGGATTATTTGCTTAGCATACAGATTGAATAAGTGTAGTGAGAGGATAACAACCTCGATGAACACCTTTGCTGATTTTAAAGCGTGCAGTATCCCCTTGTTCTATTCAAACACCTGCCTTTTGGTCTATGCACAGGTTCCACATGAGCAAAATTAAGTGTTCTGGAATTTCCATTCTTTGCAATTGTGATGGTTAAGATTGTGTGTCAGCTTGGCTGGGCCATGATTCTCAGTGTTTATATGTGATCACTCCCATGATTGAAAATGCTGTGAGTAGCCAATCAGATGAAAGGGAGTTTCCTTGGGGGTGTGGCCTCCATATGAATATAAGCAGACGTTCTGGCTTTTTGCTCACTCTGGATCCTGCGGCTGCCTCCTGTTGTCTCACTTCTGGTTCTTGGGACTTGAGCTGTCAGCTTATCGTTTGAACTTGGGATTCGTCAGTCTTCACAGCCTATGAGCGGAGCCCTGCTCTCTGACCTGCCGATCTTGGGTTCGCCAGCCCCTGAAGCTACGTGAATAAGGAGAAACCTTGCAGTCTTGCCTGCAGATCTTGGACTTGGTCAACCTTCACAGCCTGTGAGGGGGAGCCTTATTCTCTGACCTGCTGATCTTGGGCTCGCCAGCTTCTGTGGCTGCGTGACTTGGAAGAGGCCACTACCCTGATCCACAGACTTGGGACGTTCTAGCCTCTACAATCACGTGAGCTGTTGCCTTGATATAAATCGCTCTCTCTATATATATTTATACGCTTTACTGGTTTTGCTTTTCAGAGAACCCAGCCTAAGACAGCAGTGTTATCCATAATTTGTTACAATCCACACAGTCAAATGCCTTTGCATAGTCAATAAGACACAAGTAAACATCTTTCTGGTATTCTCTGCTTTTAGCCAGCATCCATCTGACATAAGCAATGATATCCCTTGTTCCACGCCCTCGTCTCAGTCCAGCTTGAATATCTGACAGTTCCCTGTTGATATACTGGTGCAGCCTCTTTTGAATGATCTTCAGCAAAATTTTACTTGTGTGTCATATTAATGATATTGTTTGACAATTTCCGCATTGGGTTGGATCCCCTTTCTTAGGAATAGGCATAAATGCGAATCTCTACCAGTTGGTTGGTCAGGTAGCTAGCGGTCTTCCAAATTTCTCGGCATAGACAAGTGAGCACTTCCAGTGCTGCATCCATTTGTTAAAACATCTCAATTAGTATTCCATCAATTCCTGGAGCCTTGTTTTTCACCAGTGCCTTCAGTGCAGCTTGGACTTCTTTTTTCAGTACCATTGGTTCCTGATCATATGCTACCTCCTGAAATGGTTGAATGTCAACCAGTTCTTTTTCGTATAGTGACTGTGTATTCCTTCCATCTTCTGAAGCTTCCTGCGTCATTTAATATTTTCCCCATAGACTCCTTCAATATTGCTACTAGAGGCTTGAATTTTTTTTCCGGTTCTTTCAGCTTGAGAAATACTAACTCTAAATCTTTGCACATTTCATTATACTTTACTTTGTCTTATCAAGCTGCATATTGAAATCTTCTGTTCAGCTCTTTTACTTCATTTTATGCATTTGCTTTAGCTACTAGACATTCAAGAGCAAGTCTCAGAGTCTCTTCTGACATCCATTTTGGTCTTTTTTATCTTTCCTGTCTTTTTAATGACCTTTTTCTTTCTTCATGTATGATGTTTTTGATATCATCCTCCCACAACTTGCCTGGTCTTCAGTCATTAGTGTTTAATGTATCAAGTCTATTCTTGAGATTGTCTCTAAACTCAGGTGGTATATACTAAAGGTCATACTTTGTCTCTCATGGACTTGTTTTAATTTTCTTCAGCTTCAACTTGAACTTGCAAATGAGCAGTTGATGGTTTGTTCTAAAATCAACCCCTGGCCTTGTTCTGGCTGATATTGAGCTTCTCCATTGTATATTCCCACAGATGTAGTTGATTTGATTCCTGTGTATTCCATCTGGCAAGGTCCACATGTATAGTCACCGTTTATGTTGGTGAAAAAAGGTGTTTGTAATGAAGAAGTCATTGGTCTTGCAAAATTCTATCACGTGATCTGTGGCATCTTTTCTATTACCAAGGCTGTATTTTCCAGCTACCAATCCTTCTTTGTTCCAACTTCTGCATTCCAGTCACCAATAATTATCAATGCATCTCGATTGCATGTTTGATCAATTTCAGACTGCAGAAGTTAGTAAAAATCTTTGGTTTATTCATCTTTGGCCTTAGTGGTTTGTGTGTATATTTAAATAATAGTCATATTAACTGGTTTTCCTTGTAGGCCTATGGATATTATCCTATCACTGACAGCATTGTACTTCTGGATACATCTTGAAATGTTCTTTTTGTTGATAAACACAATGCCATTCCTGTTTAATTTATCATTCCTGGCATAGTGGACTCTATGATTGTCTGATTATAAATGGCCAATACCAGTCCATTTTAGCTTACTGATGCCTAGGATATCGATGTTTACGCGTTCCATTTCATTTTTTCCCCCATACAAAAATGTATACATACATTGTTATGTGACCCTAATTGCTCTCCCCCTCTCGCCATACTGTGACAGCACACTCCTCCTTTCCACCCAATTCCCCATGTCCATTCAACCAGCTCCTGACCCTCTCTGCCTTCCCATCTC